ACCTTCAGGTGAACGGGACAGGCCATACTATCCGGAAGTGACGTATTCCTCTCACAAGACCAAACCACTGACACTGTATTGGACTGAACCATTGGACTAGATAGTGAATACAGAGAACGAGAGAGGGAGAGAAAGAGCGAGTGGCCGGACATCTGTGAGGGACCTCTAAAGCTGGACGGTAAATCTTTTCAATCATTTATCCTGACATTTTTCCACGTAGGCACATGGAAAACGCATACGATTGTTGTGGTAGTTTGTCGGTTTTCTACTGACTGCTGCGAGTCATCGGTGTGTTAGTATTCGTGTGTCCATCAGCTGTTTACGCTGTTCATGAATGAATTCACGTCAACATATTAACGCATCACGCGTCATCACAACGAACCTGCTGCTTGGTCTTATGTAGCTGAGTTGACATCCATGTAAAAAACAGTCTGAAACCCACAGTAAAGACTGGTGTTTCGAGGCAGCAGTAAATTACGGGCTGCAGCACAGGAGACTCCATCATAGTCATTAGAGAGGAATTGTTAGTTTTGAATTTAACTCTTACAATTAACTTGTCAGTGCTTTTAAATGCGTGTCCTTAAGAAGCAGGATTGCGTTGGATGTCCATTTTGAAGATTTAATATGTTATTAGTATTCTGTGACGGGTGTATTAAATGTCTGGTTTGTGGGCCAGCGTTGACGTTTAAACACGCTTGAATAGGTGCGCCACCTAGAGATGTCCCTTAATCCTGACCTGGGACTTAGCTGATAACTGCATGAAGAGCAGAATATAAGAATTAATATATTTGAGGGAGGTGTGTTGTTATTTGATTGCTACCTTCTTTAAGGTAGAAACAAAGATATAGTGAAATTACTTATTATGTGTTTTTTTCTTGCAAAAATTCAAGTGTAACTTTTTATAAATTGTATAGTACATACATGTGCCTTGTTTACAAACACAGAATACCAAAACAGCACCAGAACACAGTTGAGGCTTGAGTTTGTGATAAAGTCAGAATACTTCACAGTCATTCATCTTCATGTGCAATAAACATGTTGTACAATGTACTTTTGCTTATTTTTACATTTTCTAACATTTTTGAGTTGATATTTTGTGCCATTTGTTGATTAAATGTTTGTTTCCTTCCATCTATTTTTTTTTCATTTTCTGTTGGTTATAGCTAACTTTTACCTATAGTGGGGCAAATAATATTTGTTTTGTTTACAATTTTGATTAATATTTATTTTCATCAATATTTATTTATATTATTGCTAGATTTAGGAAAATAATAATAGATAATAGATACAAGCGACACATTTGTGCCTGATTTGTCTGTCCATCCATCCATCCATCCATCCATCCACAGTGCATGAGCATCAACATGTTAAGACTTCAAATTGTTTTCTTAAATGAGACTGGGTTCTCAGTCGCCATAGATGTCAGTGTTCTCTGTCAGAAATGGGGCTGGGGATATGTTGCCCTGTATGTGCTGTGTCAGCATTGTCCATCTGGCACAAAGCAGAGACAATCCTTCAGCCGCTGTTGTTCATAAGGACTCTGTGTCACAACAGTTTCATAGTTGGGTTCCTTTTTATATCTGCCCTACATGCTGTGGCAGTCAGTCTGTGGTGCAAAGCAGTGTGTGCGTGTGTTTGTGTGTCCGTGTGTGTGTGCTTGTTGAATGCTGTGAGCTGTCAGAGCAGCATTGTATTCCAGCTTCATTGTGTTGAGAGCTTCATTTCCAGTAAGTGTCCATGTGTGTCGCTAATGGTTCAGTGTCTTTTGTAGCTGCGGCCTGTCTCTCTAGTGCACTCACAGGTCATGCTCAACACTAATCAGCCAAATGTGCTGTAGTTTTACCCAAACACTGCATTGAAGGCTGCAGCTCTGTGGTGTTCTAATCCATGGTAAAAAAAAAAAACACCCAACACCAGGTCTGCAGCAAACGTGAGGAACCACACATGTGGCCCACTTTGGCCTTTTTAAGCCCTCTGACATAGTTTTTATTCACTGAGAGTATTGGCTTTGAACCTGAGCTTTGCTGCTGACAAAGTCGCAGCAGAACTAACTCATTTAACTAGAGAGCCACGGAGAGTCAGAGGTCAGGAAACTCCCTCTATACTGGCTTTGATTCTCAATAAAACAACGTGCACTTCTGTTCAAAGAAATCCTAGCACTTGTACATCATTAACATTTTCCCTTTTCAGTACAAATTATAACAAAAATTAGATTAAAATGAGCTAGCAATAGCAAAAACAAATTTGCATATATTCACATTCACATTTTAAAGAGGCCATAGATAAACACTGCAGATACTAAGACAGTGTTAAGGCCTGTTCTTTTATCTGTTTATTCTGCCTGTGTTTAGATATTAATATGCTTAAAAAAATTGCTAAAGCCAAAAATAATTGAAAATAGTTGCCAAATGCCCCATAAACTGGTTATAGTACAAACAAATCTACAAACACTACCCAAAACATATTTGTAGAAGATGCACAGACAAATATTTCTGCAGACATACCATGGGAAAACAAATTACCTGCACAATTTTACTATCACTATGTGACAAATAATAATAGAGAAAAACAAGTTCAGAAGACGGAAAATACGGAAAATTAGTATAAGGCCCGTGTTTTGTTTTATTTTAAATGTTTATACTATTTATATACTATTTGTTGTGTTTTCGTTGTATTTACACATAGCGTTTTTCAGTGTACTCATCATGTGCGATGTGTGTCTCCTGGCCGAGCTTCTATAATTACCACAGCCTGCAGCACCACATGGGGAGCACATTATCACACACGAGTGGAGGAGCAAGAAGGTCAGCACATGCACCGGTCATACACAATGAGCATGTGTGTGTGTGTTTCAGTCAGTGGGCGCTCCAGTGTATTTGTTTTGTATCCAACTGCTAATGCATACATCCGTAAATGTATGTACTCTTTATGCACAGTGATGGTACACAGTTAATCATACTGTAGGATGTGGTTTAAAGTTTTATTTGCAAGTTGAGTGGCTCATAGTAGTTGGCTGTGATGCACGCGGTTCAAAATACGAACTTGCAAACGCAATATGGCATTTTATGAACATTTATGGACATCAGTCAGCGGTTGTTCATAAGTCTGATGTCCATATCTGGGGGAATTGCCCCATATACTTACATATATATATATATATATATATAATTTAAAATAACAACAATACATTTATAATAATATTGTTGAATATAGTTACTTTTCACTATTTAAAATTAATTATAAAAAATGTTATGATTGGCCAACAGTTCAAGTAAAATCTGACTGTTGATGATAATGAAAGAAAAAAAAAAATCACATTCTGAGTTAATGGAATGTGTTTATGTTCTTTACATTCTCCTCTCAGCTTAACACTGCTCTGACCTCACATGTGCATCTGACCTTTGACCTCGTATCAAGTATTAGACGGTGGCTGTACATCCCTGTTCAGGCTCCTTATCTCCAAGTGGAAATGGAGGAGAAGGCGAGGGAGGAGGTGAAATATATGTGAAGGTGACACCTCGGCGTATGTTTGTTTACTCGTATGTCTGTGCTCCTCTACAGTGAAATATTATGAAGCAGATCGAGCTGGAGATGCTTCCTAATATTTACTGTTATCTAAGAGCGGCCGCTGTGTTCCGGCTTACAGCTTTGCTTGAAATCCCATAAATCACGCCTGGGATTACTAGGTGCATGGATGGAGGATGACATGGCTGAGCTTTCTCTGCTGCTCATCATCTGTTTGGTTCCGCTGTTGACTGTGAAATGATGAAGAGGTATTGAGGATAGCTATATTGTTGTGGTAAGGGGGGATGGAGGCAGAATACTGATTCAATGGCCTTTGTTATGTAATTTGCTCTCATCCTGGATTGGTCCAGTTCTGTGTTGTTAGTGGGCTCAGAATATTAATTTTACAAGCATTAGCTGCATGAATCTGTGGCTGTGGTGTTGTGGAGGAATCACTCATCAATGCCTGCTTCAAATAAACCAGTCAGCCTCTACCTGTCCTCCAGCTCAGCCAAACAGGTTCTTTTTTTTTCCTTGTGCATGAAATCAACAATCCTTATCAGCTTAGGTGTTTTCCGACTTGTCTTACTTGCTTTTTCGTCATATGTATCTCAGTGCAAATCAGATGAGTGTGGGCTGGGTCTGTAGGAGTCAAGGTGGCGTGATAGAGCAGTGTTTTACACCACTAAACAAAAACATTTATATAATGAGCCTTTAATTTCAGTTTACTCACAAGTATGAGACCTGTGCCTGTTTAGTTGAACACAAGGCTGGTCAAACATAAAGACTTTCAACAACTCTGAATCACTGACTCACTCTGACTCCCATATAGACAAACGGAGACAGTAATATCACCAATAATTAAATAAAATGATTTTCACAAAAAAATGTAATTAAATTGGTTAATTTTGCCTTACACACAGAGGGTCCTGGGTTTGAGCCCCAGAAGAACCATAGAGCTCTAATGGTGCCTCTAGTGGCAGCCTGTGTGGGTCCCCATTATTGGGACAAATAAAGAACACTTTTTAAAATTATTTTACACTCAATACACTTTCTCTGTACACTAATGTGCCTGGGTGTTAAAAGAAACTTGAGGGGGGAGATAACTATGACTGGACAACTATGTGGCACCATTGCTCATTCTAAATGCTGTGTGTATGCAGAGTTAAGGTCTGGACTGAGCCCTGGAAGTTGTATTTGTTTGTCAGTAGTTACAGCTGAGAGACGGTGTGGTCGTCCCCTGCTGCACGCGATGGCAGATTGAAAAAGTAAACCGCTGTCGGCTTATGTGTGCGATGCTTCTTTTGTCTTATTAATGGCAAGAGACACAGGAGCTGTCAGTGCTGCTGTTCCGCTTCTGGTGAAATAGTAATGAGTTTGAATAACA